GGTCAGATTGAATGGATTTGATTTTTCTATTAAAGGAGCGTTCAACCATTGTACGAAACATATCAAAGATGGTATACAGATCAGATTTTAATTTCATGGGAAAATACCAAGTGTAGCGGGTATAATCATCCACAAAAATGACAAAATAACGATAACCATCAATGGACAATAAAGAAGCTGGACTCCAAATATCTGTATATATTAAATCAAGAACACTAGTACTAGATGACTCAAAAAGTGGCAATGAGAGTCTAGCAGATTTGCCCAATTGACACGCATTACACAAACTAGAATTACAATGAATAGAATTACTAGACCCACTAACGGAACAAGACTAAAGAATACGATGCAAAACACGATGATGTGGATGTCCTAAACGATCATGCCACACCGACATAGATGTACGAGCATAAAGAAACGCGAAGAGAGACGAACTAATAATTGGAAGCCTGTATAGAACCCCAGAGCTATTGTGATCTAGCAGGAGGTTGAGTTAGGTAGTCTTTGGTTGTTTGGTAGAATGCTTGTTCAAGGGAATTGACTGCATCAAGGAAACTTAGATGATTATAAAGTTCATCATCATACAATAAAGTCTCATCTCGTTCTGGTTGGGAAGAAGATACTACAGTAATCATGTCCGCAATGTTTCCGAAAATTATCTTAATTATTTCGCCTCTAGTCCTTGTGTTTCCTATCTTAGCCATCACCCCAGCAAACTCAACCACTGTGTCAGCCATTCGATTCAGCACAGAAGTAATCTTTTTTAGTGATTCATTTGATTGATTGCCCTCCTTAGGACCACCACTTCTCTCAGGTATGCTTTCTTCTTTATTCATATCTTCTTCCATTTGAAGTTCGTCCAGTATCTTTCCCCGTCCAAATCTTCCCAAAAATATCTCTGCTTTGATAATTCTTTTTTTAATGGCTTCTTCCATCCAAGCCGTTATTGCAGGGTACTTCCTTTGAATCTTCTCGCCTTTGAATTCCATTCTGTCAAGGTATGTTAACTGTTTTTGAAACAATAACAACAATAATTAGTAATATTTTATCATTAGTTGTAGTAGTGTGTAGATTAATGAGAAAATTATTATAAATGCATATTAAGATATTACCATAAAAAACAGCGAAGGAACAATGAAATAGGTATCCGGGTTATCCTTCCAAGCCTCAACTGCGTTTACCAAAGATCTGAATGTGCAATGACACCAATTCAAGTCTTTCAGCTTTGAAACATCAATCATGGAGTACAAAATTTTGTAGGTTGCCTTTGTGCTTTAGTTTTCTTTTATCAAGCTGGATACCAGCAGCGCAATGAAATCTCTTTTAAACATATCTCCACTATCTCCTCTCTCAACAATAGCCAATGTCATTGTATTTGTCACCGGAGAACCTTTAGTTATTCCTCACCGCTCTTTCCAATCTGCCAACAATTTTTTATATTCCTCAGTTTCATTCTCAGAAGAAGCCTCAATCATAGGGATTTCCCCTTTTGGAAGGTTCATTGTGCTATGTACATCATCCTCCAACAGCTGCATATCATTGTTTTCTAACATCAATGAGCATTCATAGATATCAAACCTCTCGACAAGATATCTAATTAGCCTGCTATCCCACTCGAATACTGTCATCTTTAACATCTCACCAAAACCAATGTCTTGAACTGCTCTTTGTTGATTTGGTGTTAGTGATGAAATTAGGGACCGAAAATACTTGGGTGACATTCTGGTCGGTATGTAGCCCATCTTAGCAGAATTCTTTGTTTTTTTGTACATTTTCTTCTCAGCTTGGGGGTTCACTGTTGCTTTGCGCTTGGGCGCTCTTTTTTCTGTTTTCCTGCTTCCTGTGCAGCGGGTTCTGGTCCAGATGGTATTGTTTGTTCATTTTCAGTTGGTGTTGGTTTAGGTGCAGATTTGTGTGGTGGCTTTACGTTTCTTTGTTGGTTTTTTTGTTGTGATCCATTGATTGATTCCTGTGATGAAGGAATGAAGGGATGAAGGGATAAATAAAGGGATAAATGAATTCAAGTGTAAATGAATTGATGTAATGAGGTGCATTACAAAGAAAATACATTAAGCTATTTATACAATCAAATTGGGAGAGAAATGAGGGCATGCGGCAATACAAAGAGGAGAACCGCAATGAACAGAGCGAACGTGTGAGGCGCATGTGATATGGTGCTGCTGCATGGTGACATCATGTTGGTCAGACATCATGTTGGTCTACAAGGATTTTGAGCCACACATTATTTTCCTAACAATTATTATTATTATTATTATTATTATTATTTATTATTATTATTATTATTATTATTATTTATTATTATTATTATTATTATTATTATTATTATTATTGCTTTTGTTGTTGTTGTTGTTGTTGTAATTTGATTATTTGAAAAATTCACAAAAAGTTTAATAAATTCGCCAGTTTAACATTTTATATTTTCAAAATACTAAAAATATTATTTAATAACTTAACAATTTGCTCCAAACTGCTAAAAACTAAAACAACTCATATGCATTTTGGGTTAATCTATCTCAAACCCCCTAATAAATTAAAAACAAATTAAAAAAAAAACTAAAATAAGAAGCCATTAAGATAATGTTTCTTAAATAAGATCCTTTTGACACGTTGGGCTTAAATAGGTTGAGAAAGTTTACATGTAACAGGGTCAATCGAATAGTTATGCGGTGGAACTGGCAAGGTGGACACAGTTCTATGTTCATAATTACTGAACTATATGTTCATTATTATAAAGCTATAAATTCATAATCTTTGAACTTCTTATTTATAATTATTGAACTCTATATTCATAATTGCAGAACTCTATGTTCATAATTACTAAACTATATGTTCATAATTATAATGATATATATTCATAATTTTTTAACTTCATATTCACAATTATTGAATCTCTATATTCATAATTACATAACTATATGTTCATAATTATGTTGACAACACTATCTTCATAATTATAGAACTATATGTTCATAATTTTTGAACTATATATTCATAATTATGAACAAGTTTTGAACCGTGTCTACCTTTCAAGCTGGACACGTTCCACAACATAATTTGTCGGGTCAATAGGACTAAAAAAAACATTTGGACATTTCAATACTTGCCTACATTGATGGGCAAGCAATTATATGCATTGCTCCTCTTGTAAACAATATTTTCATTAAGTCACTTTAATGTGGTGCAAGTTTAATTGAGCACTTTATGACTATTAAGGGGTAGCATTAATGTTGTAACAGAAATAACGACGTTTTCTGTTACAAAGCCTATATTGATGGCATATAAGGCTATAAAAGTAAAGGTCCTGCCACTGCTCCGGAACACTTGAAATACACCATCTATATTGTCTGGAGATTAAGTGGGAGACATTGTTACTCTACACAAGTTGCTACTAGATGATTTACAATGCAATGCACCAAACGTATCAACTATGGCTGGAGTTTTGCTTGATCCTTACGCTTCCGCTATGAGGTTAGATCATTACAAGTATTTGATTGTATATTTATTCTAATACTTCTTATATAGAGGAGCTCAAGAGCTCCTCTTTCCAAACATTTTCAATGTGGGATCAAAATGATCCCACATCATTTACAAAGGGGAGCCACCTTTGTCTTCTAATTTTTTTTTTTAATTTTAATTTTATTTTGTATATAGTTTTGTTTCGATTATTATTATTATTGTTATTGTTGTTGTTCTTGTTGTTATTATTATTTTAATTTTATTTTGTATATAGTTTTGTTGTTTAGATTATTATTATTATTATTATTATTATTATTATTATTATTATTATTATTATTATTGTTGTTGTTGTTGTTGTTGTTGTTGTTATAGTTATTATTTTAATTTTAATTTAATTTTATTATTACATTAATACATAGGATTTTTTTTATACTTGAACAATAATATTATCAATTATATTATAGAATATAATACCGTACAAAATATTACCAATTAATAGATTTTATTGAATTTCCATTTGACATTTACTTACCAAATAAGCTTTACTACAAATAATAATATTCTTCTTCCCATATATATATATATATATATATATATATATATATATATATATATATATATATATATATATATATATAGAGTTAATTCCATTTTTGGTCCTAGACTTATTAGGGTGTCGACAATTTTCATCCTTCATAATTAAAATTGCCATTTAGTAGCCACCGTTATTCAACGGTGGACACTTTTGCTGCTCTGTGAACTTCTCCGTCTCTTGGCCGTCTATGAGAAGGGCAAACAGGTCTTTTAATTGGTCTTCTTCTCTAAGCGTATTAGTCAACTGATATTTACTTGTACTCCACAACTTAGACGAACAGAACCAGCTCAGAACTGCGAAGACCACAGTAACCCTTATCTTCTCGAAGGCGAAGGCGAATGCGAAGGCGAGGACGTAGGGAGCAAGCACAATGGAAGGCGTCAGACGAGGCGACAACAATACCCCCGGTAATTTTGGATTTTTATGCGTTGTATGTATACGTATGCGAATAATAGCGAAACCCTAGGTGAATTTGAGTGTTGTGTGTATGTAGTGAACATAATAGTTGCAAAATCGTATGTGTTTTGTTAATGTGTGGTAAAATATGAAATAGGTTGATTTGTTATGCTTGTTGGTGGTATATATAGTGTGAGTTGTGGGAGTTGTGGGTATATAATGAACTGATAAAGTGCAATTTCCTTAGCTTTAAATATTCTGTACATGTCAGCGGTTGTTTGTTGTTTGATATACATATGCTTTGAATGGTGTGGGTGGTGTTTCACTTTAAATGCAGTACATCTCCATTTGTTTTTGTATTCAAAGGGGGGCCACATGGGGCAGTAGCTTTTTTTTTCTTTGAAAGGGGACCACAATTTGCTTTGTCTGTTTATCTGTTTTGTTGCTTTGTTGACTTATAATAAGTAAACTGTTTTAAATTGCTACATAGATGGAGGAAGTAACACAGCTAAATTCAATCTGAAGTTAAGACATGGTGGTCGTCTTAAGACACATGGAATTGGATATATTTGGATATATTGGAGGGGTTGTTAACAGTTTTCATTTAGACATTGATTTGTGGGGCATGATGACTCTTAGGGATACAGTTGAGGAGTTGGGATACAATATGTTAGACACCTTTAAATATTTCACCCCTACTGGTAGTGACACCCTATTTGAAATAAGTAATGATAGCGATTGTTGGGCTATTTGCGATGTTGGAATGTTTCCCAAAGAGATTGAGGTTTGGGTAGTAGGTGGTGTAGAAGGTGATGATGAAGCACCATCAGTAGAAAGTGAGGGTGATGAAGAATCTGGGGATTTTTTAGATGACTTTGAGAACAGTGCTGATGAAGTGGGAAATGATGACCAAGAGTTTGAGGCCAATGTTGATAACAATGTGGAGTTTGATGGGGTAAGAGAAAGTGGACAACCTGTAGCTGGGGTAAGAGAAAGTGAACAACATGTTGATGGGGACAGTACTAGGGTTGTAGACAATGATCATGGTCTACAATTGTCTGATGAAGATAGTGGTAAGGACAGTGATGAAGAAGGCAAAATGAAATGGCCAGAATTTAGGTCTACCACTCAAATGCGTACCCCAAAATTCTGTGTTGGTTTAACATTTGCATCAAAGGTAGAATTCAAAGATGCAGTCCATAATTATGGTTTCAACAATGGTAAGGAATTGAAGTTTATTAGGAATGACAAAGAGAGGGTCTATGTTAGATGTAAACAAGTTGGTTGCCCTTTCAGAATTAATCTTTGGAAAGTTAAAAATGCCTTGTCATGGAGAATTGCCAGTTATAATGAATTGCATGATGGCTGTGGTTGGGTTTATGAGAACACCATGGTTAAATCAACTAGGATTGCAAAGAGATGGATGAAAGAGATTGGTGGCAACAGCAACTGGACCACTGCAGAATTTAGAGAGAGGGTTAAAGCAGATGAGGGGTTTGATTTGTCCACCAAGCAAGCCTATAGAGCTATGAGAAAGGCAAAGGAAGTCATTGAAGGTGAAGCTATTGAATTTTTCAACAAAATATGGAGCTACAAGTTGGAGATTGAAAAAACAAACCCTAACACCACATGCAAGGTGAAGGTAAGTGACTTACTATATGATGGAAAACCTAGGTTTCTAAGGATGTATTTCTGCTGGGAGGCTTCAAAGGATGGATATAAGTTCTGTAGGAAGCTAATTGGAGTTGATGGTTGTCATCACAAAAAAAAAATTTGGAGGTCAATTATTAACAGTTATTGGGATTGATGGGAATGACAGTATCTTCCCACTGGCTTATGCCATTGTTGAAGGAGAAACCAAGGATTCATGGATCTGGTTCTTGAATTTCATTAAAACAGACCTAGAAATCACTCGAGAAGCACAACACCAGCTTACATTTATCTCAGGTATAAACATTTATCTCATACCAGTGTAATCTATTATACTCTCCTTATCTGTAATATGTTTTCTGTTTTTAAATTGGTTGCAGACAAACAAAAAGGGCTTCTACCAGCTTTTGAATAAGTGTTTCCATATGTCTCACATAGATTTTGTGTGAGGCATCTTCATGGGAACATGAAGCTTGCAGGATTTCAAGGCAAAGCAATGAAGGATGCACTCTGGACAGCAGCCAAGGCAACTACAGTTAACAGCTTCAGAGAAGCTATGTTAGAACTCAGGAAGTTGGATGAAGAGGCTTATCAGTGGCTAGGAGATAAACACCCTTCATAATGGTCAAGGTCACATTTTACTCCCTTTGCTAGAAGTGATGCCTTAGTTAACAACATTTCTGAAAGTTTCAATGCCCTTATAGTAGATGCAAGGAAACAACCTCTGATTTCTTGTCTAGAAAGTATTAGGAAATTATTGATGACAAAGTTCTTTGAAAATAAACAAAAACCTGTGAAATGGAAAGGTCTTTTCTGTCCTAACATAATGAAAAAGATAGAATCTATTGAGAAGGATGCCAGTGGGTGTTTAGGGAATCAAGCAGATGAAAACTTATTTGAGATAAGGTGCATGTCAGTGTTAGGGGGGATAGAGCAGCATTCTGTGGATTTGTTTAGGGGTACTTGTAGCTGTAGAAAGTGGGACTTAACAGGGATACCATGTAAGCATGTTGTGAGTGCCATTTGGATTAGACATGGTAATGGTCCAGTACATCATTATGTAGACCCTTGTTACACTATTACCAACTACTTGAATACATATGAGGGAAGGATTAAGCCACTGGCTGGTCCTAAAGAATGGCCCATTTCAAACCAAGAACCACCATTGCCACCTCTGTACAATAGCAAGCCTGGAAGACCAAGAAAGTTGAGGAAGAGAGGCAGAGATGAAATGACCAAAGATGGCACACATGTTAACCCAAGTTTGCTTGTTAAGCATTGCAAGAAATGCAACAAAATAGGCCATAACTCTAGGACATGCCCAGATGATCCAACTACAAGTCAAAGAAAGGTAATGTTGACTGATTATGTAGCTGGCATTAATGTTTTATTATCTTCTCTGATTATTACCAGATGATCCAGCATTGCAGTAATTTTTTGTTTTTCTTCTCTGATTATGTAGCTGGCTCCAAAGAAAAAAAGGAACAGAAAGAAGAAAAATGTTGCTGCCCCACCAATTCAACCTTGTGCCTCCTCACAAGCATCTTCAGGTTTAATAGAAGAAAATGTAGATTTCTGGAATGAAGCAGCAGATTTTGCAGCTTTGTTTGACCACAATGCACCTGTGGCAGGTTTGGTTGGCACTCAGCATGAAGAAATCTCTATAACTCAGCCAGAAGGTATCTTTGGGATCACTCAGCAACCAATCACCCCATCTCAGGCACCAAGCATGACTCAACCACCTCAAGCACCAGTCAGGCCACCTCAAGCACCAGTCAGACCACCTCTGGCACCAATCAGAAGACCTAAGGCACCAATCAGAAGACCTCAAGCACTCAATATACCTGCTCTGGCACCATCTCAGACTCAGCCACCAATCAGGCCACCTCAAGTACTCAATATACCTGCTCTGGCACCATCTAAGACTCAGCCACCAATCAGGCCACCTCAAGCACTCAATATACCTGCTCTGGCACCATCTCAGACTCAGCCACCAATCAGGCCACCTCAAGCACCAAGCATACCACCTTAGGCACCAATCAGGTCTACATTAGGGTTAAAATCAAAATCAAAATCAAAGAAGATGAAGAATACCTCTGACACACCTGTTCGTAGGAGGACAAGATCCACAACAACTCTCAAGTGTAGGTTCACCAACACATCTGACACACCTCTAAACATTGAGTAAACTTGACTTCTAGACTGATGTTTTGGTACTGTGATACTGAAATTGGTTGTATGTATGCATATATTCTGGATTTAGTTTTTGGTAAGCTACTGTGAAACTCAAACTTGGATGTAGCTTATGTTTTGGTACTGTGAAACTGCTTGTATCTATGCATATATTGTGGTACAGAATCTGGATTGGTTTTTTGCTACATTGATGAACTTAATCAATTTGGAATGACATGCCTTGTATGGCTATATTCTGAACATGGATCTCTTTTATTTTATGTTCTTTGATATGCCTTAGAATTGCTACTTTTTTGGGCATTACCACTACCACATTCCTTAAAATATGAACAAGTAACATTGGAATAATGCGATAACAGTTACCATTGCTTAAAAGATGAACAAGTAACATTGTCATAACACATAGAATTACGATTGCGATAACAGTTACCATTACCAAATTCATTACAATTACCATTGTCAAATTCATTACAATGCATAACACCGCCATACACAAAAAAGCAAAACATAACACTCCTTATGTCAAAACACACAGTGCATAACACTTATGGGAGCAAATACACCTCATTCTTAAAACCTAACCTCTCATTTTTTTCCATTACCACTGGTAAAATAAGCAATTAACAATACAATAAGCCCACATACAACAAGCAGCTTCATTGAACTACATCTTTTGCTCCTACGCATATCCTTCAAATCACCATCTTCCCCTCTTGGAACACTTCTAGGCTTTGATTTTAATTTTGCTATTTCTTCTTCACATTTGTTAATTCTCTTCAGAAGCCCTGGTATAATCCTCTTAGACCTAGGGCACATTGGAGGATCATACCACTTCACAAACGTATAGCTACATCCATCCTGAAAATTTGCAACAATGGCAATCAAAACCACTACAAACAATTATAACTTCCAGTAAATTAATTTAATGCACTCTGCAAAAACAAAAACAAAATTTGAAAGCCAAAAAAAAAAAAAAAAAAAAAAAACCAATTACGAATTTCAGTATTAACCTTACATCCCGAGCATTCCCAGTACCTCCTACCGGGGTTGTCATTTGTCCATGATGTTCTCAAACTCAGTTCTTGACCACATTCGCAAACTTCGGTTGAAATCCATTCCCCATACATATAAGTCTTTCTCGTTGTTGAAGAACTCGAAGAATGACTGCGTACTACCTTCGATCCTTCCATTGAGAATTTCAGAATGATTGCCCTAACCCTAAACCTGTTCTGTTGATCGACATACACTCAAGTGAAGGAAGAAATATAAGGAAGAGAAGAAGACCAATTAAAAGACCTGTTTGCCCTTCTCATAGACGGCCAAGAGACGGAGAAGTTCACAGAGGAGCAAAAGTGTGAATTTCATAATGATTCCCCTAACCCTAACCCTGTTCTGTTGATCGACATACACTCAAGTGAAGGAAGAAATATAAGGAAGAGAAGAAGACCAATTAAAAGACCTGTTTGCCCTTCTCATAGACGGCCAAGAGACGGAGAAGTTCACAGAGGAGCAAAAGTGTCCACCGTTGAATAACGGTGGCTACTAAATGGCAATTTTTAGGACGAAGAAGAAGAAGAAGAAGAAGAAGAAGAAGAAGAAGAAGAAGAAGAAGAAGAAGAAGAAGAAGAAGAAGAAGAAGAAGAAGAAGAAGAAGAAGAATAAGAAGAAGAAGAAGAAGAAGAAGAAGAAGAAGAAGAAGAAGAAGAAGAAGAAGAAGAAGAAGAAGAAGAAGAAGAAAGAAGAAGAAGAAGAAAGAAGAAGAAGAAGAAGAAGAAGAAGAAGAAGAAGAAGAAGAAGAAGAAGAAGAAGAAGAAGAAGAAGAAGAAGAAGAAAGAAGAAGAAGAAGAAGAAGAAGAAGAAGAAGAAGAAGAAGAAGAAGAAGAAGAAAGAAGAAGAAGAAGAAGAAGAAGAAGAAGAAGAAGAAGAAGAAGAAGAGAAGAAGAGGAAGAAGAGGAAGAAGAGGAAGAAGAGGAAGAAGAGGAAGAAGAGGAAGAAGAGGAAGAAGAGGAAGAAGAGGAAGAAGAGGAAGAAGAGGAAGAAGAGGAAGAAGAGGAAGAAGAGGAAGAAGAGGAAGAAGAGGAAGAAGAGGAAGAAGAAGAAGAAGAGGAAGAAGAGGAAGAAGAAGAAGAAGAAGAAGAAGAGGAAGAAGAAGAAGAAGAGGAAGAAGAAGAAGAAGAAGAAGAAGAAGAAGAAGAAGAAGAAGAAGAAGAAGAAGAAGAAGAAGAAGAAGAAGAAGAAGAAGAAGAAGAAGAAGAAGAAGAAGAAAGAGCATGATGCCATGACCCACAAAGAGCGTGTCGTGGCCCTTCTCCATCAACGAAATCAAATGATTGAAGAGGGTTTTTCATTCATGAAGGCTCAGCTGGTTACCGTGAATCAGAGGCTGGACATGCTGGAAGCTAGCTCTAGCCGAGGTAGAGCCGAGGAAGCTTCTGATGAGGATGCCGAGGATTCGGAGGATGATTCCTCTTAGGCTGGAGTTGGTGGTAAGCTCGTTTCTTTCCTTGTTTGTTTTGTTTGCCGGCTTGGTGGTTGTTGCTTGTTTAGTTGTGCGTTTAGTGGTGCTCTCTTGTTTGCTTTGGTTGTTAGCTTGTTGTTTAAGTGGTTTGTTTAGTTGCTTTGCCTCGTTTGAGTTAGTTTGTTCGTGGCTTATGATTAGTGTAGATGGGTGATAGTTGTCTTTAAGTTGTGTTAGTGGTGGTGTTGCTTGAGAATTTTTCTCCATTACCTTGAAACCTTGCACTACTTTTGATCTTTAGAGCCTTGTTTATTTACACCTTGCTATCTCTTGTCGCATCTTGATTTGTTGCTATCTTTTGTTAAACCTGTCGTGCCCAAGCTTCGGGGATGAAGCTTCTTGTTAGGGGGAGAGGATGTGACACCCCGTAAATCTAAATACTAATTGGGGATTAATTGAAGAATTAATCCAAGCTTTCTTTGGTAATCCATTTTTAAAAATCCTAAAATTTAATAGTCGAGGGACTAGAATTTGACTAGTCACTTAAGTCAATCAAGTGTACCTTGTGCCTTACCTTTTGTGC